TGCATTAGGCCAGTGCTCGGCATCTTCGACTGCTGGTCCTGATGGGCTGACGTTTCGGATTCTGAAGGTTTTATTTCCAAAAGTAATCCTATATCTGTTGAATGCATGGTTAGGATTGGGGCGAGTTCCACCTGAGAAGAAAGTTAATAAGACCATCCTGGTGCCCAAGGGGGCTATTAGTCCAGATCCGGGAAAGTGGAGGCCAATCACCGTGGCCTCAGTCTTGCTGCGCCTTTTCAATAAAATCCTGGCTAGCAGACTAGTCAAGAGGGTTAGATGGAACTTTGCTCAAAGGGGGTTTCTCCCTAGGAGTGGCACGGCTGAAAGTTTAATTGCCCTCTCCACTGTCTTACATAATGCCCGGGAGCATAAGAAGTCGGTTTATTTAGCTTCCCTTGACATTAGGAAGGTCTTTGATACGGTGCAGCACGACTCGATCCTTCGAGCGCTGCATAGGGTGGGTGCCCCCTCACTTCATCGCCCTGATACAAGATCAGTATTTGGGATTCAGTACCACACTGCATCTTGGGGGTGAAAGTTTGGGTAACATCTGTCTCAGGTGGGGGGTAAAGCAAGGAGACGTACTCAGTCCTCTTCTGTTCAACCTGATAGTTGACGAGCTATTAGACCAGCTTGAGGTATAAGTTAGAAGGTTGTAATATCAATGTCTCGGCATACGCTGACGATCTTGTATTGTTCGCAGCAAGTCACCATCAGATGAGTTCAGTACTTGACCACGTCACCAGTTTCCTGACAAGGAGGTCACTTGAGTTAAACGTTGGGAAGTGTAGATGTCGCCATCCAATAGTACGGGTAAAGCAGCATAAGATTCAAGTGACCGATGACCATCCGATAATGGTGGACAATGAAACACTTCCCCTGGTGACGGCTGGCGAAGACATCAAGTACCTCGGTATTCACCTCAAGCCCTCGCTGAGACCAGCCTACCCGCTAAAGGAGATAGAGGAGAGTTTGTGCCATCTGGAGAGGGCGCCCGTAAAGCTTGGGCAGAAATTGTTTCTACTCAGGTCCTTCCTCTTGCCCAGGTTCTACTATGAGCTCACCCACGTCCCACTCCATCTTGGGGTTTCAACTTCTGAACAAGGCCATCAGGCGGTCCATAAAGAAGTTTCTCCATCTCCCGACCGTTCTAAGTTCAGCCTTCATCCATATGCTCCTTAGGGACGGGGGTATAGGTATTCCAGATCTAAATGAGCTGCTAACTAGAACCAAGTATAACATCTTGAGTCGGGCCGAAACTACCGATGATCCGTTAGTGGCCGCCGTTGCTCTCACGTCTTCTGTACAGAAGGAGATTAAGAAGTGTGAGGGGATGATCAGGAAAGTGAGAAATTTCCATCTGGAATTTGCGGGATCATATCACGGGTATGAGCATGAGAACTTTAGCGGTCGATCGGATAACAACTTCTGGTTAGTAGGACAGACACGATGATTTAAAGGAAAGGACCTGATAGAAGCAATTAAGCTCCGGACCAATACCATGGCCTGTCGTTACACTACCAATATCGGGAGACCACAGCTGGATAACACCTGCGGGTTTGGATGTAATTCCCCAGAATCCATCAATCATATTCTCCAAACCTGCCCCAAGATCTACCGACTTTAGGATTTCGCGTCATGACAGGATTGTAGACTTTTTAGAAAGGAAGGCTGTTGAAGGAGGACTTTACGCCCGCAGAGAGCAGAGTCTACGCATGTCTGACCAGAATCTTAAGCTGGACCTGATCGTAGCTAGGGAGGACGGGTGTAGGGTCCTCATCGACGTAACAGTCCCTTTTGATGGAGGGGGATCGTTACGTAAGGCAGCAGAGGAGAAGATGAGGAAGTACGGTCAGGTTGCCAATGAGATCGGCGGGGGGAACTTGGAGGCGTGACCGTTTGTCATTTGGGCACGAGGAAGCTGGTGGTCAAATAACAGTAAGGTCCAAAATCTCTTGAAGATCACCAGCAAAGAGATTCGTTACCTCCTACTCAATACCATACGGGCCTCTATTGTCATGGTTCATAGATTTGGAAAAACCGCCAGCTAGTCCGCGTCATCGATCCGCTCGACTTTTGTATGGGGGCCAAAACAGAGACATGGGATTCCGTTCGGGGCCCTAATCAAAGTCTGAGTCCGCATACCCACCACCCACGCGTGGAAAGAATTAAAAAATTACTCTGCCCAATGTATCCCAGGACATGAGAATGAACCAACTGTAAAATTGTAAATATTTTCTACTTTTTGAATAAACTATATTGGAATGTTAACATCTTGAATGGTTATTGATTCTGATGTTTTGTTATTGAATATTTTACAATATGCTGGACAAAAGCATATTTGTATGAATGTTAATATCTTGAACGCCTATTGTTTTGAATTGACGGATCGATTAAGTGTGGGGGGGAGAGGGTGGAACGCTTCCTCGTAGCGTCGCTATTTTACTGTAAGGTGTCACTAAGGGCTCATCTAGGATAAGATGACTCCGAAGATAAATCGAGGGTCTCTAGGGTTTGCAGCCCGGGTACCCGCTGTTCTATACGCAGTGAACAAACAGAAAGAAGAGCGTCCTGGGACCTGAATCCCAGCCCTGTATAGATAGCGGTGACGAAAGTGCTGCTGGGGGACGGTTGGACCTGTTATGTCCTGGCAAGGAGTGTCTAATGTGTGAATGGTGGGGCCTTTCTCACCTACGTGGCTTTTACCCATCATATTGAGGAGTTTCATTGCCCTGCTCTGGAGATATTAGGTGGCTGTGCGGTAAATGTAGGAAAGTGTTTAGTAATGTCATTAGTTTTGCCAGTCATTAGAGTTTCTCTCTGGGAAGTAGTAGGTGAGACGGTCAACATCCGATTGCAGAAGTTAAAGATCCGCTCCCAGCTGGCACTAGTTCCAGAGGAGTAGTCGGGATGACAAGATCATCTCCGAGGGTATTCCGGCAGATGGAAGTGCTGAGCAGTGTGCGCCAGAATGTGCTATAACTCCAT